ACCAGGAAGTAAGGCTGGTGCGCTGTTGTTTTTAGCATTACTGTGGTGGCAAACTTTTCTCTGGTCTTTGAAAGTTGTGAAAAGCACTTATAAAATTATCACAGTCAATAATTACTACGCGTGTGGAAAGGGAAAAATAAGTTTGGACTGCTGCAGAGGGTTAAAAATGAACGAGTTCTGTTTTTCAAAATTTTAAGATAACAAAAAACAGCTCCTCTAAAGATTAGTTTGATTCTGAGTGTAATTTCATAACTGTTATGCTGCAACTCTTCTGTAAATAAGGGCTAATCAATCAATTCAATGAATCACATCAAATTGCAACTGTGTTCCTTGTATGTCATTTTCACAACTTACAGAATTTTGTTATGTATTTTGTTATATATATGGAATCACTCTACAGTTTTTATCACAATTTCTTCGCAAATAGCTACTTAATAATCAAAAACATGAGCACCTGTCATACATGCACTTAAAGTAATGAGCCATTCTTATTGCTGACACAGTAAACATAAACTTGCATAGACAACTTTACAATTGTATCAAAAGCAAGTGATCATATCTATTGAACTAAAATGTACCACATAATAAACCTGTTAAACTCCTCACTGATCATTCCTCGCATTTTTCAAAGTCAAATCCCAAGAGGTGCCCAGTGAGGGGGGTTACAGAGTCCCCGTATCGCCATGGAGACATCAACCCTGAAATTGCGATGCAGCGCAGGGCCCGGCGCTGTTCTGGAGCTCCCTGAGTTTGTCCAAACAGTCTGTATGAACTGAGAGCATCCGATATTTTCTAGTTCTGCTCACATGTTGGCCCGGCCTGTGAGGTGTGGGGAAATGTCAGGAAAATCGATAGATAAGGACCACATCACACCGAGCTTGTCTGGCCTAGCAACAGAGCATCCCCATGGCGATGTCAATTACCTTCTGCTTTACAAAAAAATAAAAAAACACCAGGAAGAGCATAACAGTCTCTGCAATGCTGTAAAACTTTTAATGCAGTCTCCTGGTTACGGTAAGGCATTTGTAGAGCAACTTTTTTTTCTCCCTTGTTTTCAAATTGTACAGGCAAGAATGTGTGATCGCATCAATAGATTTTTTTTCCCCCTCTTTTTCTCTTCTCTTCATGGGTGCTAGCTCAATCAGAGAAAGGTACAATGTAACAAGCGGTAAGGCGTGCATAATTGCATATTAGCAGCTACACACTTAGCTGCTCGGGGAGGTGGCTGCGCTGACGAAAAGAAAGGCGTTATTAATCACCAATTAATAAAAGCCAGCAGATCTTGCACGCTGAATATGGTTACGCCTGGTTTCCTTTGTTTCCACTGCGGGTCCAGGCCTTATTTATTTCATAGAATTGATCCTGTTGTGATCCGGTCTCACAGGAGTGATATGAGTAGCGTTGGTTAGCAGATTACACATGTATGTGTGTTCGATGAATGAGGCAGTAATCCACAGTCAGCCCTGCTTTCATCAGAAAGCAAAAGGAACAACGAATCACAACATATCGTCTTAAGCGTCACAATAACAGGGAGGTTTAATATAGTGGTGAATGTGTAGCCACCAGGCAGAGACATGTGCTTGCCAAGCAGCTGCGAGCACCAAACAAGAGGAGAAACATCATTCAGTGGCCATAACAAGAAATAAAACTGAACAGGACTTTTAGCTCTAAACGGTGCCATGACACGTCATTCTGTTTTATCCCCTTTAATGTCAACATGGAATCAGAGTGAGTGGACCATATAAGTGAACCCAGATGAAAAGGACACTGAGAAGACACTGATTGAGGAGAGAGGAGAGAAGGAAGCATGGAGGAGACAGGGAGACAAGGGAGAAGGAGAGGGGGAGTGGGGAAGGGAGGAAAAGAAGGCATTAGAGTGAAAGGAGAGAAGGGAGGAGGAAAGCAGGGAGGATAGAGAGCTAAAGGCCTCTCTCTGCTGCAGCCTGGTAACAGCCCACAGTGGCTGCTTCACACAGAGCGGCCAGCTGTACAGCAAATGTGTCTTTCCCTCTCCGCCCCCGAACCTTTGCACCCCTCCAGTGCCCCCCTCTGCCCGGGCCGCCCGGGCCACTGGCTCCTCTCAGAGAGAGAGAGCTCCTCCCTGACTTGGCTTCAAGCTCAGTGCTGTCACCAGCCCAAAAATCTGTAGAGGTGACCCCGCACAAGACTTTTGTGGGAGTGGTCTGGTTTGTTTGTGACTGTCCTTCTGAGTACTGCCACTTTGGCTCGGAGCTGTTTGGAATGGACTGGGGTGAGGGTAAATTGGATTGAAAGCAGATAGAACAGAAAGGCAAATATCCTTTTCACCTTTAAAAGCTTTTAAGACAGTGGCCTTGCTACCAAACATGTCAGCACTGTGACAAATCTACACGGGGACATTTGAAACAGAGCGATAAATGGGCCACACACACCCCCCATGAGGCTCCAAATGTCAGAGTTTACAGTGGGGTCAGAGAGAAGCCATGGGGCAGCGGGCGGCCTGCTGATAAAACCAAACAGGCTTTTGTGTCAATGAAAGACCTTCAAAGGTCCTCTCAAAACAGCCCACTTTGTGAGAGCATGTGCTTGTAAATATTGTGTCCTTTGCAATTACTATGAGCGTCAGGGCAAACGGACAGACCTGCTTTTCATTTCAAAGTGCCATTTCAAAGAGTAGACTTGATATTGACTGCAGCAGCTGAAAGCTGTATAAATCTGTGCATCTCCAGAGAAACATCGGACACCCTCAATTCTGTAAGTGTGCCATGCCAAAAAAACTCTAAACTAAAGAGTGGCCAGCTGTCTTCTGGCCTGCTATTAAATTGCTCCTTGGATGGTGGTGATATCATTTTTTCTCCATAGGAGGATCACACCAGGTCCCCAAACAGAGCGACCAGCTGTACAGCAAATGTGGACTGATCCATCTGGGCCCTCGCAGGCTGCGGCCTCCATCTTAAGACACGTGGGGCCATTCGGAGGCTGGCCCACCTCCACACCCGCCCGCACCCATGGCCTTCTCCATCTCTGCTCTTTCATTTAGCTCCATTATCACAGGAAATGTGGAGGAGCTGGGCACAGAGCTGCACTTTCTGTGGGCACATGGGCCGTCCTCATCACAGTGTAATATCCATGCATCACAATGTGCTGGCAGGCAGACAGGAGAGGCAGTCTGAGCACTCGGGCCCGAGGGGAGCTGCTCGGGGGGCGGCTGAGTGCACTCGCTGAAGGGCCACTATTGTATTACCAAAGGCAGCTAATATGGACTTGTCTGGGTGAGACAGGCTCAGGTTTTGTTGTTCCATACACTTAGCACTATGGTTATGTCACGCCACATCACTATATATAGAGTTATCAGTGTGAGCTGACACCATGGAGAGGGCCATGGATGAAAACAACACCCCTATGATTCCAGCGTCTGCTCCATTACCTACGCTAATAACGCTGACAGCTGAGCGAGATGACCCCAGCCCTGTCTCCCTCTCCTGTGCAGATGGCCATTAAAAGGAGAAAGTGTCCCTCTTTCACTACAGAACCTATTTAGCCATTTCCCCAATTACCTTATTTCTATGATTCGTCCCAAATTGGCTTAGCAATCCAAAGCACCCCAGTCTGCATTTACCTCCGCACATATGAACCACTTTCAACAACATTTCTCTTCTCCCTTTACTTTTTTCCCTCTTTTTGTTGCATGCACCAAAGACATTACCACCCTACCACGATTCCATCACAATGCCTCGTGAATCCTCTACATTTTACACATCGGCAAACAAACCCATGCCACAGAAACCCTTTCGAGATGCCAGATGAAAGCCGTGATCATGTTGAATACAAAGCTGCGGCGTATCAGAGTAGTAAGACATCAGACAATAACCCAATCACCTATCCCCCTGTTTTCTTAAGCTGCCCGAATTCCACTATTACGAGGCAACTGCGAGCTTGCGAAGCTGAAAGACATAAAATAAGCGGTAGGGGTGTTTGTTTTCGACCCTCCCAGTGAGCCGCCGTGCCTGCCTTTGCGAGAGAAAGGACTAATGCTGGTGTGCTACTGTATTAGGCACCCCCAGTAGAATAGTGGGTGAGCAGATCTCAAAGATGAATACAAAATACACACCTACATACCCGCGGCGTTGTCATCTCTCCCCCCTCCCTCCCTCACTCTCTTTCCCTCCCTTTTCCTTTTGCAAATACGGCGCGGCATCAGAAATCACAAATCACATGCTTCTGATTGTTTATGCACAAACAGTGGGTCCCTGATAGAATTGCCCGGCGCGTTTTAAAATTCACCTGCGCCCAGAAGCGTGTCCCGAACCACGGAGGCGGCTTGGTTCCAGATCAATGAGTCGCTCTCTCCCGCCGAAGACAACAGATAATGCAGTGTAATGAAAGATCCGCCAAACGAGCTGAATAAATGAATGAATAGAGGAATGTGAGAGAGGAGTTTCAGACACACACTAACTGCGGGCAAGAAAAGAGCTTTTCCAATTGTCTTTTTCTCTCCTCAAATGATTCGGCCTGCATACCAATCACAAGCACAAGGAAGGGTAACTATAGGTCTTTCTATTTGGTATGTCTGCCGTGCAATGTAGGAAATTAAATGAAAATAGTTTTGTCATTTGCACTGAACAGAGATTGACTGAAGTCTTTCAATGTTGCGGGTACATGTAAATCAGTTACATTGATTTGGTATGATATATTGTGCTGTAGTAGTGAATACTTTCAAGTGAAAGTAAAAATGTTGCATCACAAAGCTCCGTAATTACAGTAGTGCACAGATGAAAAAGCAACCAGGTTAGATTTAAATTACCCAGTTGCACATAGATATCTTTACTATTACTATTTTATTCAAATCTAGATGGAAAAGAAAATACATAAAGTAAAAATTATATAAATCTGAAATGGATAAGCTAAATAAAATGCAGTGAAATAATATCAAAGGTTAGAAAAAGGTGTAAATGTAAGAATAAAATGCTTTTATGTCTAGTCCTTCCAGGGCAGCACAAAGAATAAGAAAAGTGTCCTACCCAGCATGTGGTTGGCCACGTGAACCTGGATGTCCCATTCACTGTAGAACACCATCTGACATTTGATGCACTGGTAGGTCTTCTTCTGAAAATAACACAAAATTATAATTATCACAACATTTGAAAGCTACACTATATGCAAGTGGTAATTAATAAATGACTAAAGCTGTATTTCCACATTACCTCCTCCGTTTGTGACGGGCTGGTCCTGGGCATGGGGGACACTTGTGGGGTCTTGAGGTGTCCACTGTTGCTGTCCCCAGCCTGCTCGCGGTGCACAGTCTGCACATGGTTCTGCAGCTCAGCCTCACACTCAAACTTCACGTTGCAGCTGGAGCACCGTGTCTTCCCTGCAGATGAGGAGGAGGAGGATGAGGATGAAGAGGCTGAAGAGGCCACTTTGCCTTTGCCTTCAGCAGGACTCAGGCGTTCTCCTTGGATCCAGGCAGCTGTGACTGCAGGAGTAGTAGCACCTCCCTGCTGTGGAGGTTGCCTTCCCCCATTCACTGTTGGACTGGAGCTTTTGGACCCAGCGGCTGTCACACATGAGGCACAGAGTCCATAAGGCAGTCCGTTGATGTCCAGCTTCACTAAGTCCTGTTTGGAACGGAAATCTTTCAGACAGGAAGCACACTTAAAAGGTTTTTGGCTATGGTGCACCTGCTGGTTGTGGGAGACAGCGTTGGTGCGGCCAACGGGGTGATTGCTTGTCATGGTGCCTGTTTTTTGCATGTGGAAAGTACCATGGATTTTCAGCTCCAATGTTGAGGTGACTGTCTGCATGCAAACCACACAGCGGAAACCTGTCAGGGAGTTCCTCAGGTCGGGGTGCATCTGGCAGTGCTCTAAGAAGTCCTCCTCACTCTGCAGAGGCATCTTACAAATGCGACAGCTCCCTGTGTCCAGGCTCTTGCTGTGAGTGACTTTGTGCTCCGTGAGGGTGAGCAGCGAGGGGAAACGCTCACCACAGATGGGACACATGTAATGTTTGACTGGTCCAAGATGAGTTTGCATGTGCTCCCTTAGCCCAGCCTCAGAGAAGAACGTGCGGGAGCAGACATTACACTTGTGATTACCCTTGATCATCTCTGCTTTCCGTTTCATCATGGCACTCTCACCAGGACGGATGTTGTGGTCCCTTAACTGATGGTTTGTGAGGAGTGACTCCATGGTGTAAGACGCACCACAGATATCACAACCATACATCGGCTCGGCTGTGTCCACCTCCTCTTCACTGCCATCATGGTTATTTGGTGATTCCACAACGGATGCCCCCACTGCAGTTGTCCCGTGGCTGTTTGTCAAAAGACCTTGTAATTCTGCATCTTCCTTCGGCTGGGTCTCCCCACCGCTCAGAGCAGAACCATTAGCGCCACAGTTCTGCGCCTTCCCCTCAAACACGCAATGCTTCTCCCGGAGATGTTTCTCCAAAAGGACAATGGCATGGAAGGCCTTACTGCAGAAGCGGCAGTTATATTTCTTGCTGTGAGTGGTGATGTGACACTGCAGCTCGACTTCCGTTCCAAAGGATTCTCCACAGAATATACATCGGTGCGCGCGGCCCTGGTTCTCCAGATGGCTGTGTTTGACATGGAGCTGGAGGTCTGTCTCGTGCCTGAAGTCCCAGTTACAGGAGGTGCAGCGGTACACCTTCTTCTCATTGCTGTGCTTGACTGCCAAATGCAACTGGGTGGAGACCTTGGAGTCAAACACTTCCTGGCAGAGCGTGCAACGAAAGAAGACAAAAGTGTGCATGTCTAGGAGGTGCTTCTGCAGGTCGTCCACTGATGTGAACTGCTTATCACAGCTCTCACAGATGTAATACGTGGAGGTAATCGTAAAGTGAATGGTCACATGCTTTAGCAGAGACTCCTGGTTGGGGAACTCTTTGTTGCACTGCGGGCAGGTGAGTTGAGGTTGTAGACCATCAAGGTGCGTTTTGAGGTGGGTCTGGAATAGATCTAGGTTGTTGTACTTGGCTCCACATTGATTACATATAAATTCACTGCTGTTGGCACGTGAGGAGCTACTCTGCTTCAAGATGGCGGCTTGTTCCACAGATATGGGAGATGACGGACTGAGGGTGCGCAATGACTTCTTCCCATTGTTGATGTAATTGAGTGCCAAAGGAATGTTCTTGTGGTTCTCCTTGATGTGTTTGTTCAGCTTGAGCACACTGTTGAATATGGGAGAATTGGTGCAGTACGAGCACGAGTAGACCTCAACAATGGGTTCTTTGGGCGTAACAGCAAGCGGGGAATCAAATCTCAAGCTTCCGCCATCGCAGTGGGTCTGACGAACATGCTCCTCTAAAGTGGCCTCGGTTAAGAAGCCCATGAAGCACTGTGGGCAGAAAAAGGCGTTGCTCTCCTTTGCGACAGGACTGGGAAAGCCGTGGGAGCAGCGGATGTGTTCCTGGAGAGCATTGAGATCTCCCAGGACCTCAGGGCAGAAGTTGCACTGAAGAAGGGCATCAGGTAAGCTAGCCAACAATGCAGCATGGTCCTCAGCATTATGTACCTGCTTTAGATGTTCGTTGAGATTCAACAACGAGGGCAGGACTTCCAGACAAAACTGGCAAGTGTGAGCCTGTTCAGGTTTGTCCAGATGCATGGTCCGGAGGTGGATTTGAAGAACTGCTAAGCTGGAGAACACTTGCTTGTTGCAATAGATGCAGCTGTAGGATACTTTGGGTTGTTTAGCAGATCGACCTCCATGATCTGTGTTTTGAGCTGTTCGCTTCCTCCTGCCTCTTGTTTTGGGGACAGGGGGTGCCGTCTCCACCATCGTTGAGCTGTCTACTGAGAGATTAGAGTCTGGTGTGGTACTAGAGACTGAGGTGTAGCCCACTGTGAGCAAAGACGGGCTGTTGCTGTGATTGCTAGACTCTGGTAGCTGGTGGATGTCCATGTGAGCATAAAGGTCTTCCACAGACTCAAAGTGCTCGGAGCAGATGGCGCAGGTATGGCCCTTCCTGTCCCGGCTGTGGGCCTGGTCTATGTGGGTGAGCAGGGTGCCCTCGTCGCTAAAGGGTTCGTGGCAGTAGATGCACTGCAGAGTGGCACCAAGGCCCCCATCCTCTGACGGCGAGCACTCTGGGTGGCACTCCGCGATGTGCCTCTGAAGCTCTTCCGGGACATCAAAACCTTCTTCACACCGGCTACATTTCCGCGTCTCTTTCAGTTTCCAGTCATCCGTGCGGCCATCTTTACCCCGCTCATGGACCTGCATGTGTCCGTGGAGCGAGCTGGAGGATAGGAACCCTCGCCGGCACACGGGGCACTTGTGGGGTTTGTTGGAGGCGTGCGTTTTCATGTGGATTTTGAGGTGGTCGCTCCGAGAGAAGGCAGAGTCACATTCACCACAGTGGTACTTCTTGTCACCGGTGTGGAGTTTGACGTGTCTGTCTCTGCTGCGTTTGTGCTTGAAGAGGCGGCTGCAGAAGGTACAGCTGAATGGGAGCTTGTCACCGTGGCTTTGCTCGTGGCGTTTGAGGAAGCTCAGGCGACTGAAAGATTTGTCACAAAACTGGCAAGGGTACGGCAGGCCTGGCACTCCCTCCTCTTCACCAAAATCATAGTCCTCGCAGTGTCCTGGAGAAGTCTGGTCCTTACTGGAGGGCGAGGATGCAGGCCAGGAACATGATGGGTCATCCTCAAGATCAGCGCCGTCTGGAAAACAAAAAAAAAGGAAAAAGAACATTAAAACAGAGAAACTTTTGAAATGATAGACAGTGTACTATAATGCCAGTGTTGGCAGACATTCTTCCAAAAAGTAACTACTTTAAAACTTTAAAAATGTAATTGGTATTTCACTTTTTCCAATTTAAATTATATATCAATCTAAGTCATATTGGATGCACTTGCTCTTTGTGTTTTGCAGAAAATGCTCGAAATAGGTGTCTGTCACATTGGAAATAGTGTGGAATGAAGGATGTTAAATTAGCAAATTAGCAACACAGCAACTAGAAATAGTATTCTAACAGAACTAAGTGTAAGCAATTTAAGCAGTGAAGTTATGAAAATGAGTAGTGAAAGTACATGGCTTATAAAAAACTTGCAGCTGACTTTCAATATTTATTTTTGTTTGTGTGTGACTAAAGATTAGTTTTAATAAAAGTTACACAAAATGCCAAGCTAGATGAAAAATGCACAAGTACAGATTACAGAAGGTGCTTTGTAATACTGTATTAGCAACTCATTCGTCTCATTCTCCCCAATACAAAAGGTGGGACACCACTGAGTTATTTGTCATGGCAATTATAAAGTAGAGCTGTATGAATTAAGAAGTGTTGAGAACTTAGACCATTTTTTTTCTCCAGCGGAAACAATGCCTCTCCTTAGGTGTTATCTAAAAAGTTACATTTAAATATGCAATTTGAAGTATAATTAGAGAAGAGAATGAGTGGAAATACTTTTACAACAATTAACCTTGTATGTGGCCGCGTAATGGCTTAGCCCACTGTGACTCAAAACACAATCTCTCTGACATTTAAAGCCAGCGCCAGACAATGGGTGCACTTTAGGATGTAGAGCCTGCATGAGGTAAATTAGAACATTTCTATTATTCAGAAACAATTGCTAAATTATTATTTTTTTTAATATAAGCCCTTCGAATGACCTCAAAAAAAAAAAAAAAAAAAAAAAAAATCATCAACATAGTATAGTAAGGGGAGAGATTGTAAAAGCGATCTAGATAGTATGAAACATATGCGTGGTGGCACCATTTTGGTCAATATATATTACATTATAGCGAATGTGTTATTAGACTATTTATCAGTGTGGTCGCCGTGAGCCCACCGACACTTGATGGATGAGCTTGTCATGTGATACGCGGGAACAAGGAAGTAGGGGAGGAAACGGATAGGGCAGAGCAAATGTGTGGTTAACAGTATCTCTCAAGGACAAGAAGGTGTCCAAAATATGTCCAGACAGAACAGGCCAGAAGACCATGCACAATGTGTTTTAATGTGTCCCTCTTCAGCAGACTCGACTCCTGACATTCCTTTCCACTGTTATGAATGGAACAGGCACTTTCCACAAGTTCACAAGGTTACCGGCCATATCTTCCCCCCGCTGACACATTCTAAGTACTGCAAACTTCCTAACCTAAATAAAACTGTGAAATCTCAACCCAACAAGAGAAAAAAATGTGTGTCAAAAGGCCACAACTTTGGAATGGGAAAAACAAGAGGAAGCTGCAGAGATTTACGAGGGGGACAAAGGAAAAGCACACGCTCCTTCCAAGATCCAAACCACTCTATATTCTCCTCCGGTTGACACGTCCAGGCCTCCCCTCTCTATCTCCATCCCTCTCTCTCTTTCTCTTGCGGTTGTTTTTGCTGGGAGATCTGCCCTTTGTCAGGATATCATGCCCTTACGGAGCACTTACCCCCATCAGGGCCTATCTTCAGGAAACAGATGGGGTCGGAGGCCATTCCTTTGCCCCTCCAAACTGCTGAAAGCGCCACATCCAGAGCCCACCTCCACACCGCGGCCCTCCCGGAAACCTCCCACCCTTGGCAAGGTGCCCACTCCGTGCGCACACAGTCAAGTCAAGGAGCACAAAAACACTGTTGATATAGTTCTTTCTCTTTATCTGCAATGTTTTCGCAGTGTTTGGTGGTGGTTGGAGGGAGGTTGGGTGACTCAGTGCTATGCCCTCCTCCACAGAGGGGGTGGATGGCCTCTCCAGCGCAGCACTCCCAGGATATAGAGAGGAGAAGACGGTGCAAGAGAAAAATGACCCCGGCCAATGCCTTACAGTGAAACGCATTGGCTTGGAGACAATAGTGAAGCAAACAAATAAATGGGCTTGTATACATGGCTAAATGAAATTCTACATAAATGAGCATGACTTTGCCCTGAGACATTTTGAGGCTGTCAGGACAGCATCTGTCTTCTCCAGTGTTTATGCTGTTGACCTGATGTATGATATTCATTTACTGCCTTTACTTGAATAACAAATATGGTCATCTAGTAGAAGAGCAAATATGAACTTATTCAAAATAAATGTGTTTGTGAAATAAGCCTAACAGACAGCTAAAAGTGTCCTACTGAGCCGTATCATGACATCATGGGCCCAAAGTGAAGTTTGTAACATTAGACTGAAGAGGGAGGAAAGTGAACCATTTCACATCTGGTTTGGATCATGTAATGTTGAGTGTGACAGACAATGCCTCCCATAGAAACTGCTCTTGTGGTATCCACAGCACAGAGCTAAACCTACACACATACATGAGCACAGCACACAGACACTAGTGCAATGTGTGAACAACTGCAGATGAAAGAGCAATCTTCCTCCAGAGACCTGAGGAGGAAAGAGAGAGACTTGTTTTTTTCCTTCTACACCCAGACGAGAAGTGTCCGGGCCCAGGCAGCAGCCTGAGTAAATAAAAGAGGGCCTTACTTCCCGGTCCCCGGGGCCGCAGGCCTGTGCACGCCAGCGCTCTCTGTGCCGCTGCCAAAGGGGATGCTGGGGCCTGAAAAACTACACCCCACAGCTCAAGGGCTGTCTTTGTTGGTCTGCCAAGGCCTTCCTGAGCATCCTCCAGCCAACAGCCTGTCCCGTCCTGGGAGGAAGACCTCCATCTTAAGGCCTGTCCCTGCCCCCTGCTTCTCTTTTAAATGTCTCCTATGGAACACAACAAATCAGCACAGAGCTCCTATGGTCTGGACCAAAAGTCCAGCTCAGCAGTAGCGTTTCAAAGCAGGCTTGCTGCAGCAGCATTAAGGATGTAAACACGCCTCACCTGAACGAGGAAGTCATGAAGTGTTATTCCAGCATTCTGCTCCTCCTCAGTCTGAGCCACGCTTCCTCTGTCCACTCCATTTATAGCTCACTTTCCCAGAGTAAATATCACTGCTCAAATACGGAGCTAATGCTGGGAACAGGTAACTTTACTATTTGTGTACACAACACTTTCACAACTCCCCCACAATGTTCACATTCATGCAATTACCATATTAAACATTTAACAAGAATAATATATTTTAGGAACTGCTCATTAATTTTCCTGACGCCACTTCTCCCTTTGGACAAGACTACATATGGTGGCATGTTTTTTTTTCTTCTAAATGCAAAAAAAAAACAATCACAAGTTTAAAATCCAGTTGCCAAAAATCTTAACAGTGCGAACAAAGAACTTGCACAAATACTTAGGATTTCTACAATTCTAACAGTTCACATTTTATTCTCATTCTCTAGTAGCTTTAGCATGCAGTTTGAGGCAGCCACATTTGCTATAGCTCTGGACTCACTTCAGTTCTAGCTTATCACTGCCACCCAGCTTCTGTCCATTTTTCTGATTCCGAACGCCAAACTGTTATCCCGCTCCAGTACCTTATCTTATCAAAAAGTCATTCCACAATCACTTATCGTCCACACTCGCACATAAGACATAACTTTGTTCGGAAGCCATTGCTCTCACCATCTCTTTTGCCAATGCCACTTCTAACATGAATGTTTTGGAGATCTGCAGTTGCCTTAAGCTTGTGTGTGGCGGTGTTATTTGCGCTGCTTTGGGGACTGGGGATTCATTGAATAAACAAAAAGCTGACAACTTGTCTGATGTAGCACCCTGACCTCCTCTTCATATTCATGGCGAGGATCTTTTTACACTTAGAGGGAGAAGTAGTCAGACTGGTCCCAGGAGGAGATGTGCGTATGCTTTTTTGTTCACCGTTTTTAGATGCCCAAATAGTGACAACAAGCATGCGGTGTAGTTGTTTCATGTGACGCAAGCGTTTAGAATGTGCTCGCTTTTCAATGTACAAATTGGCTTTTGAATATGTGAACAAATTGGATTGCTATGATGATACTGATTATGATCTGATAGACACTTTTCATAATTAATATATAGTGTATATTGTTCAATATACGAAAGCTGGAACAATTTATTTGGGGTCAGTATCTATTGTATGCACATTTTCTTTGCACCACTAGGAAATTGTTGAATTGCTGAATGGCTGAATTAATAACTTCTACAAGTTTGTGTCAAAACCATACATTTCAAGTTTCAATATTATAATTTATTGTCTATATTTACTTCAGCAATATATCGCATTTCAAAATGTGTGTATCATGACAGGCCGAATTAAAACAAACAAAATTTCCATGTCAAAATGATCAGAAAATATATAAACAAAAGTACTGACTAAGTAATTTCTGGCTAATTGATTCGAGTCACTCCAAGCACAAATAACAGCATTCACAATTCACAAATTCAGCAGGTTTGTTAAGCCTTATTATTATTTGTTAGGAATTAGACCCCAATGTTGTCATATAAAATTGTGAGATGTGTGTATTTTATCTTACAACAACCATGTGATTGAACATTGCCAATATGCTTTAAAACTATTGTGAAAAGAAAAACAATTGTAGTCCATTTGTGTAGAAACAGAAGATGTTGAACTTTAATGCCAGTTTTTGTTTCATGTGAACAGCAGGCCTAGTAATTCAGAGTTTCAGTTTTATGCAGCTAAACCCTGGAAATGTGAGACAGGCCTCTACTTTGACAATGTTTAAATTCAGAGTCATAACGCTTCTGTTTAACTGTGCATATGGCTGAAAGGTTGCACTTGTCTCTTTTAATTTTTTTTTTTTTTTTTAATGTTTTAATGTCTTATTCTGTAAAGCTGTTCGAATGACTTTGTATATGTACCTGAGCTCT